ATGCTACATGTGCAAAATAATTAAACGCAACCAACAAATACTAAAACCAAAGCATTGCTTTTGAGAAGACGAAAAGAAACCAAATTGTGCTATGTTTGCGTATGAGTTCAGTCGTGTATATGCATTTATGTTTGTATTAGTTTTTCAGGTTTTTATTTAATCCGAAAGCAAACAATCTACCAAGGAAAAAAAACACACGTATAAGTCAAACCTCAAACCTTTTGACGAACTCATACATGTTCAAAAAGTTAAACGCAGCCAACAAATCCTAATATTGAAAGTCTAACGAGAATGGTGTACCTTAGAAAGAGACCAAAGCATTGCTTTTGAGAAGATGAAACTTTGTGGAAAAAAAAAGTGCATGCGTTAATGTATCAATCAAAATTAGGAGGATTCAAATGCATAACTACTTACTTGTAAAGAGGAGTATATAAGACAAACCACCGCAAACAGAATCATATATATAGTAGTTATGATTTGCTTAAAATATCCAAATTTTAACAGAAAAATACCTTTGGTTTCAAGAAAGACAATGAGCTTTAGACCACAAATGGCTGACAAAGTCAGTAATCCCATAGAGTCGTGTGGACTTGGGAAGATAATAACCCTTAATTCTTGCAAGATTGATATAAACTTATACGAGTACACACACAAAAAGAAACTATAGGATGTGGAAAAATCATGAGATCTCTATTTTAGAGTTTCACTAACAATCTATGAATCACAACTTTGATTAAGGGGAAACAAATTTTACCTGGCCGGATGTCTACGGTAGCTGAAACTCCTGGTATAAAATCAAACATTGCGTACCACAACTAGTTCAAACAGAACAACAACAGAACATGTACCTAAGATAGAAAACAGAGAAAGCACCAGTACCACCAAACATGCCTTAATTTAAAAGACATATCAGATCAATGATCAAGAGTTAAAACTTGCAAGAAGAAATATGATTCAGGATGCAGATACATACATGCTTGCAAAGAAGTCGGATTTCATACATATATCCATCATCTTCCCTAAATACATAAGAGATTCCATATGTTTTATGCAGACAAAGTTAAATACCACAAAAAAAAGAAGAAGCAAACAACTAGTATTCACCAAAGACATCGGTGAAGGAAGCTTCAGGGCACTGCAATCGGTAACCGTGGGTAAAATATATTTTCTTTTAACATGTCCAGAAGCATAGAATAGAGAATCGTACTTAACATGCAGAAGCATAGGATAGAGAATCTTACCTAACACGCAGTAGCAAGTACTATTAAAACTACATTTAAAAAAAAAAAAGTTACCACCCCCAATGCCTGCTTATTAGACTCGAAATGAGCTAGGAGAGACATTGACTTCAACATATGTTGTCTGCCAAGTAGACACTATCTTATGCGAAATGATTTGGTTTTTGTTAAAGACAAGGCATAACACAGGCAGGGTATCACTTCCTATATTCCAGGGAACACACACTATAGAAGACAGATCTATACTTACCCAAGCAGCTTCTCTCAAATTTAAATCATGCGCGTCACTGCTGCATACTAGATATACGATCAAAATTACTTTCTTCATCAACAAAAAATTCAGTGCACTGCAATCGGGAACTGCACCTTTGGTCTCTG